CAAGCCAGAAATAATTTGCCCTTATATTGCYGGTCCAGATGTACCTGAGACATTTCAGTCTTGGCAGCTTGGTCCACCTGTCCATTGTTGCTGTATTCTTCAGTRGCCCAACTCGCGGGTACCGTGAGCATCTGCATGACAGATTTTCTCAGTCAACTTCTGTACTCAGGTGATGATGTCACAATACAGCAGCCCAGATGGTTTTCCCTGTGCACTACCAATTGATCTCTTTCCATCAGTCCAGCCACCCCCAGAGAGCATTTGCTACTTTGCCATGACTCATTGCAGAGGTAATTGGCCATTTTGTCTCATTCTGTGATACCTAAATTCTAAAGCTGGATGGCTTTCAGTTGTGCAATCTTACTTGATTCTCCTTGTCCCTCARTAGCTTCTGTGGCTCAGCTGGTGGAGCTCGATAGGACAGCTTTCCATTTTTCATGTGTCCCTACAATACAGCAGGAACCATTAGTGAAGAGACTGTATCACTTTTCATTTTCTGGTGGCTGATTATATGGTAGGGTCTCCTCAGAACATGTCACCTTTTCCTCCTCCGTGTTCAAAATCTTCAGCTTTCAGCCAGTTTGTGATGAACTTCCAGGATCCAAGGGTGATTGAGGTTTCCTGTTTGAGTTTGCTGAATTATCAGCCTGACCTACTTATTCCACACAGCATCACTGGCAGGCATTAAATGTGGAAGGAACTTCCCCTTTGAACACCCAAGAGTAKCCAGGACCCAACACACACTTCAATGATTTGCTCCTCTCTGGACGAGCCGCATCATTCTCCTTGAAAATACTCTGTTGCTTTGTCAGGATCCCGTAATTACTCAGGGGTGAACTTCCAAACCATCGAAGCAGAGAATTTCCCCCAAAACTGGCCTGTTTTCTTCCTCTTTCCATTCCACTCATGACAATCCACTGTGGAGCAGGCCTTCCTAGAAATCTCTCGTGACTCTAAGCATGAAATGTGTCACRCTGCCTGTAAACATGGTATCAGCTGTATTCAAGAGACATAGCAACAAGACCATGCTTTTCTTAACAATCAGAGGAAATCCAAAATTCTAAAAAGCTGTCTTAACAGGCCTGAAAGAAGAAAAGGGCATAAAAAGCTGGGGGAAATCATCACCCTCTGTTTCCCCATGGTATGATTTAAGTATGATTTCGTGGACTTCCACAGTCCATTAAGAGGATCTTAATGATCACCCCATCTGAGGAAGGGGTGAAAGAGTGTTRCTAAACATACATCCCAAATCACCCTCATTGCCCTGCATGTTCTCATGTCATAAACTGGTCTCCCAGAGTACAGCAGCAAAGCAATCCTGGTCTCTCTCTCCCCCTGCTCTGAAAAAAACCACCATGGTGGGCACACAGGATGTACATACAAGAATATGTACAGATTAGGTGCCACAACCMTGTGAACAGACCAACATTGTGACCACTGCTTAAATCAAATTTATTTCCAACAGTTCTGACCAGATCTGATTATCTCAACTCTGTGTACTCCATTGAGTGCCARATAAGGCTGCTGAGGTTTATGAATGGTGTTCCCCCATTTAGTGTTTCCACTGAAACACTCCAAACCATGCACTGTTCATTCATTGCTCTCTMCTCCTGCCCTGTGACAGGCTGGAGAGGAGAATTGGAGGCACAGATTATGAGTTGACATGAGAAAAACTTACTGGAAACATCAGTGAAATAAGTGAACTGTGACAGCAGCAATATTAATAAAAGGGTGTACAAGAAAGACAACTGGCACACAAAAGAAAGCTCACCATGTGGAGCTCACAGTACATGACCCACTACCATCCTGCTACTTCCAACTGGAAAACAACTCACTTCCCCCTGCCCCTGGCAGTGAAGTGAGGTGCTAGAGAGTWACCAACCCTCTTGGCTACTACAGAAATTAACCCTGTCCTGGCCAGAACCAGCACAGCTACTTAATACAAACAAGAAATACTTGAATTTCTACCAGTATTTTTACAGTTTGGTTTGTTTGGGGTTTTTTTTTCAGAAAAAGGTTTACAGCTTATATTTCATTAAGAATAACTTAAATTAGGTATTTTGTGTAATGCAGTGATGCTCTGAACATTTTACTCAACATCCTTTATAATGTTAAATAACAGTTACAAAGTGATGTGCACATAGATAGTCATGGTCATAGAGATGTATTCTTTTACTTCAGGGTTTTGGTTTTGAGTCGTTAAACATCYCAGAAAATTGGAATATTAGTGTTAGGTACTATCCTTGCTTTGCAYACTTTCTCTAGGTTTAATTGGGTGATTGTGCAAAAATATTTTAACACATACTTAGAATACCTGCAATAGTGCAGCTATGAAATCRTGTCTCCATATTGTCTGAAAGACATAACTGGACTGTATTGTGCTGATGTAATTCAGTGTGAATTTTTATAGCATAAGAACTCAAACTAAAGTAGTTTCACAGACCCCATGGAATTCAGTGGTTTTGAGCAACAGTGAATCAAGTGAATATCCAGGACTGGGTATAAGCTTTATTTTAACTGCATCGTTAGCTTGAGTTTGCCTTCAATTCAGTATATTTTCTGTTCAGAACTGCAGCATGGGTGAAAAGCACTTCCAGCTGTTTAGTGTGGTGGTGTGGTTTGAGGGTTAGGTATTTGCTTACATGAAAAAATGATATACTAGTCAGTTGCTTTTTTACTAAAATAACATAWTTTTTAACTGTGAAGACAAGCCTAACTGCATTAAACATGTTTTWAAATTAGTGCTGGCAGTTGCTCAGTATTTATTTTTTTTAAATGAGGGTGTTTTGTTGTTTGGGGTTTTTTTAATGGTTGTTTTTCTGGTAACCTTCTCAAAACTGTAGGGTAGTGGGCTTGTATACATAAGTACTAACRTGCCCCATTGTGCTTATTTTCCTTGCTTTTGTCTGCCAGTGTATCTTGATCTTATTTGGACTATGCCAGATCCGAGTTCAATTTAAACTTCACATGTTTTTGTTTAGTATGGTAAGATTCTTGTTTGTTAGATGTGTCTTGACCTGCAGTTGTCTTAACATTTTTTTYGAACACTGTAACATAAGWTTTTACATGCAATACTTTATAAMAAAAACTTTTACTAATGACTTCCTGTTTTAATGGAAGCTAATACCTAATCAGCTGTTCTAGTTCACATGTTTCTGGAAACCATGCAAAAATTTTGTAACTGGTTTTTCTCTTTTCCCAAATCTTCAGTCTTTGWAACCCTTTTTGTCCCTTTGTGTGTTGCTCTTATGAAAGCTCTTGGTCAAATGATCAGGTCCCTTCACAKATATGTTGCAACCAGCCCTGCGGAGACTGTAACTACTTGAGACCACATTATTTTCAGAASTTTGTCTGAAACTCCAAAATGCATCTCTGTCCTGGTTGTTGCATCCTTGCAAGCTTCCAGATTTGGATTCTTAAGCAGTTTTTTTCTGGTTCTGATTTCTCAGCTACTTGTCTGGAAAAAGTTTTCTGGAGTATTTGTGACARTTATAAGCTATTTATACTGTAACAGCATGTAAGCAGAAATCCTCTTCCCAATGAGATTAGAAATCTCAGTGAAAATATTTACACATTGTTACTAATTTTTTTTATGGGTTTTTTTTTTAGGGTTCTTCTCCAAATTAGTCTTGGAACTTGCAATTAAGGTTATTGGACTACAAAAGCTGTTAGAAATTTTGTAACATTTTATTCTTAAGTAGTAAAACAAGACTTTATTATTTGTTTACTGATAAAGTCAGCATCTTCTTACTTTGATCATTTCTCCAAAGAAAAAAAGCCAAGCACACCCTTAAAGTAAAAGAACTTCGCAACCCATTTTTGCACTTTGCTTGGATTTTTCCTGAAATGTAGAATATCCATGTTGGCCTTTCCTGCCCAGTTTGGGGTGGGTTTAAAATCCARGTCTTCATTACTGTGGGCAAACATCCTGCATGAGATCTTGGATCCATAGCTTTATGCTCTGTACCCAAYTTCTTTGGCACTGTAGAGGCTTTCATCTTGACTGAATTTGGGGGCAGATGTCTCTGAGGATGAGGATAAGGGGAAGCTAAGATTGAAATAGAGTGGTCCAGGTTTCTTGAGGGAAGGATATTTGGAGTGACTGATGGTACCCCTATAGTAAGTTGAAATACTGTCATTGCAGAGATTTCGTACAGTATTGGAATGGATGAGCAACTTTCTGTTAAGTGGAAGTCAAATTTAAAAKTAATTATATAACTTGTATTGGTCAGAACAAATTGCCATGCAGTATAATTGAATTTAACTTCTGCATATTTCTGTGGATAAGTGGCAATATTTCCTAAAGTTAYATTAATAAAATAAAGGATATAGGTCTTGATGCTTCAGGAGAACCATSAATTATTTTTAGGTGTTTTTCCAGTCTGCTGTGGGGATGTTTACAGCACTGTTTTTACATTTCTAGTATATCTCATTATAAATCCATTCTAAATCCTCAGCAATATGGATTTTCTATGATAGACTTATATTTTGTGGCTTCTTGTACTGGTCTCTTCATAAATGAAGCATGGCTTATACCCACCCCTCAGATTTGACACAGTAGCCTTCACAGTATGTGAARTCCATGGGTTATTAGGTTTTTGTTCATAGTATATTTTTCAAAGAAAGGTTGAAAGAAGTAAAAATATAGAATATTAATATATGCACAATAAAAGAAAAGCTCACTAAGGTATTTTTTGGCCCATGTTTGTCATAAAAATGAAGGGAAAAAAATGTTCCATTTTTAATCCTGGCTGCTTTCTATTCAGTATTGTGAAGTGAAAAAATTGTGTGTGTGTGTTCCTAATAAATACTATGTTCAGTAATKTAAATTGCATTAGAAATCTACTATCTCCCACTTTTATTTTAGTAATGTTGTGGGTTTTTTTCTTACAATGACATTTGTAGGCATTTGACCTTCTGAATTTAATATGAATATTGTGCTAGTGAGTTGTCAGGTTTTATTGGGGAAAATGAAAAAACACTGTCTGTGTTCTGTTCAGARTCTGCATCTGTGGACAAGTCTGTATCCCATTCTTGCACAACTCCTTCTACATCTTCTGCTTCTGGACTGAATCCAACTTCTGCGCCTGCTTCATCTGCTCCTACAGTTCCTGTTTCACCTGTCCCACAATCACCAATTCCTCCATTACTTCAGGACCCAAATCTCCTTCGACAGCTGCTGCCTGCTCTGCAAGCYACCTTGCAGCTTAATAATTCTAGCGTAGATATATCCAAAATCAATGAAGGTAAGGATTCTTTAAAGTTGATGTAATCTCTCATTTACATACATTAGTGTGTTATTGGATACCAGCCTGCAGTAAATGAAAGCCTTATTTTTAATGAAAAGTGAATAAATGAATCTCTAGGTAAAGTGGGGATCGTTGTGGGTTTTTTCCCTTAAACCTTCTCAACATTTAAGGTTTTCAGATTGATAAATGTTGATGTACATGAGCAGTCTAATTGAGACTGGTGACTTAATCGCTGTATCAGCATTTGTCTGTTGCACAAAATTTTGTTAGAGCTCTTTGTTCTTTTGTTTCATGCACTGTTCTTTGTTTTCTGTAGTTTGCGCTGCTGTTCTGTTAACGTGTGTTTGCAAATAGTGAAACTTCTAGGGATTCTTAAATCTTGTTGCCTAACACCTTTTTAGCAAAACAAGTTAGCTTCTCTGAATAAAGGTAGCATATCAGTAACTTTGCTAGCCAGTTAAATTTTGTACATGTAATGAGTGTGTCCCTAGATTTTTGGCCACATTGGCTTAGTTTGTTAGAAGGCAGTTTATCACTTACCTATAGTGCCTTTTTCTGCAAGAACCGTAGAGTTGATGCATTTTGAATGCAGTTTTATTTAATGTGTCTGCATGTGGCAGGATACTGATCAAGTGATGTAGGATTTTTTTATTTGTTTCTTTGAGCTTCTTGTGCATGGTTTTAAACAGGAAACAAAACATTTACATGTCATGCCAAGAGTTGATTAACTTTCTAAAAGTGCAGGTCAAGTGAAAATATGTACAAAATATTCGGTACCTGACAATTTTTAATCAGAAAAAGCTGTCATTTGCTTCCTTTTAATCAGCAAATATTCTGTGTTCATGCAGTACTRATAGGTGAGTAGGTCACCAGTTTCTTTTTCCTGTGCAGAGAGAGGCCTTTAGAACTGTAGTGCACTAGGTTGAACTAAAAAAAGCAAAAGTGTTGTGGTTTTTTGTGCTGCAAAATGAAAGGTCCATTCAGTTCCACTTGTGTTTTATTAAAAAGCTGCCCAGTGAAATTTCTAGTAATTTTCTCTTGCCATATCTGAGCAGCAGCTGTGTATGTCTTGGTGTGTTCAGAATTGTTCTGATGGCATGAGGGTCTGGCTGCATCCACATGGGCAGATGACTTCATCTTGCACAGTAGGGGTGCCCTTACTGTGCACATGATTCACAGTTATTCTGTGCTTGTGTTGTTGAGTCAGTTTTTTGAGGAGTGTGCATGGCTGCAGTGTATGTTCAGGAAGTGTACCACAGAGCCTGAAGACAATTTTGGAAAGGTTAGGTCAGAAGCTCATAGTTCAGGATCTCATAATCTCATACTGCAAGACACTTTYCCTGTGTTGTGCAGTTTTAAAATGGTTAAAAATTACTGATTTTTTTACTGGCGGGGATGACATGGGACAGCTAAACCTAGAACAGATAAGGGGATTAATTAGAAGAAACACAAAATTTTAACTTGAAAATTTTTTTCCCTGGAACATAAAATCTGCCCCTCATCTCTTTTAAYGAGTTAAAGTGATTCTGCTTTTTGCTTTTTAAAAAAACTATTATAGTGTAAAAAAGCTTCACACACATTCTGCTTATTACAGTAGCAAATTGAACAAATTTTCTCTTGATGTTTACAAGAATGATTACTGATCCATAAGGTCAAGATGAAGAGTTGAAGTAATTTTTTTAAAGAATTTTTGTCAGTGTATGTCTCAGAGATGAAACTACTAAATAAAGGACTTGAYAGACATTCCAAGTCAACTTGAATTCAAGTAACTGAAAAACAATTCAGTGGATCTTTGGTCTCTAGATAAGGGAAATAAATTTGAAAGAAAATGTAGCTTAAATGTAATTAGCCAGTTTGAAGTGGTGTTTTAGAATTGTCAATAAAACAGAATGTTTGTTTTYAGTTCTAACAGCAGCTGTGACACAAGCCTCTCTGCAGTCTATACTCCATAAAATTCTTACTGCTGGACCATCTGCTTTCAATATCACCTCCCTAATTTCWCAAGCTGCACAACTGTCTACGCAAGGTATTCAGAGTCTTTTTTCACTTATGTAAATTTCTTAGACTGTTTTAAAAAGGCTGATACAGTTGAAAAATGTAAAATCTGTCTCGTGTCTTTGGCCACCGGGTGTGGAGAATGTTTGAATGAATTATTTTTCCAAAGATAGGAGAAAAAATTGTTATTACGGAGTAGGAAGCTGATGCATGAYTAAGTTAATATGTTTCTCTGTCTCACCTTTTGGGATTTTCTTTGTATTTTAACTAATTTTGTATGAGTAATGTGAAACTTCTGAGAGACCCTCTCAAWTTATTCTGGACCTGAATTAGGTGTTACTTATTGTTCATATAAAACATAAATCTTCTTCCATCTTGTAGTATTGTGCAACTGTGACTCTTGGGAGAGGCTTTAAATTCTTAAATAAAAGTTTACTCTGTCTGGTGGGTGATTTTTTTTTTTCATCTTCCAGATAAGATACTCTTTCAAGTATTTTCAATATATTCTGGCTTGTAACTTAATAAAAAAACCTAYGAACTTAAGTTTAGAAACTTAAACCAAAAGAATAAAGKCAGTTGTATTACTGAGTAGGTAAGCAATGCTAGTGCTGATTTTTAACCATGGGGGGGAACTGTTATTATATCCCTAGAATGGGTGAGTAGGTTTCTRATTAAACTCTTCATGCATTCTTTTGGCTAAATCAAGTCGAGCACTGTAAAATAGGAGTTGCAAATTATTTCATCTCTTCATATGTAAAAAGCATTGGCTAATAGCTTCTCTTTCACCTTTTCCTGAAGTTGTAGAAGTGGAGAGTTTGGGGAAAATGTAATTCCTTAGGTAGCATTGTTGTTGAGCATTTGATTGTTCTAGTTGTTCGTAGTGAACACATTTGTATATCATCTAATAYAGCATGTTCCAAAGTACGAGAAGAAAATCTAATTCCCATTTAAAATAAGAAACGGTTTCATTAAAAAGAATCTTTTCCTTTACAGCTCAGCCATCTAATCAGTCTCCAATGTCTTTAACATCTGATGCCTCATCGCCAAGATCATATGTGTCTCCAAGGATAAGCACGCCGCAGACTAACACTGTTCCGCTTAAACCTTTGATGACCACACCACCAGTATCATCCCAGCAGAAGGTAAGCTCCTTCTGATTTATGCCATACTGTAGTAAGAAAATCATTATACATAGTATTAAGTATTGCTCCTGCATATCCTMCAATTGTATATAGGATGATAAAAGATGTATGTTATCTTTTCCAATAGAAACAAACAACTGGAAGCAACTACTTGACTAGTTTGGCAGTGTAGCTCCAGCATGAGATTCTAGGTTACTTTTCTTGAAGARATCCTTATGCTGGCTTCAGATGCTGTCTGGAGAGAATACCAAAGTCATCAGTCTTTTAGCATATTTGAATGGAAACAAAAACATACTTTAAAGGCAACAGCTGATTAAAGGATGCAGCATGATTCCATTATTACTGATGGAATTTCTTTTGAAAWTATTCCTTCTGTTCGAACAGCTTTAATGGTTAATGTCTGCTCATAGGCTAARCAAAATGCAAGCATTAATAGCAAAGTTCTTCATGTCAGACATTTCATAAAGGTCTTTGAGTAGTCTGTTCTCATAAATCAGTTTACAAACTCAACTGTTTCACCCCACAACTGTATAGCTCTGTTTATTTCTACAGCACAGTGATCTTATAATGATCTTGCTTTATCCTTTTAGTACCATGGCCTTGTCAGGTGCTTGTCAGACTTTTTTTTTAGTATATTCCTCTTAATCTAAAAACAGAAGGCTCATGTTCTCATTTTGATCAAAAGGTGACTTTGCCTCTTAAAAGTACAAGAATTTTAATTTGCATTAAGATTCCCTACATATTTAAATGGATCAAGTTAGGTCTTGATTTCACTTAAGCTGATGGTGTCTGACTTGCAATCTGTGTCGTGTTTCACAGAAGTCTGTTTCTTCCGGATGTTCAGATGACCACTAGTTAGTAACCTACACCAATTTGAAGTCAGCAATAGCCAGACAGCCAAAAGATTTGGGTTTTTTTTGTCTTTATGGATCCTTAGAAGCCATTTTTTCTCTGCTCCCTCCCTTTTCTCTTAAAATTGTTAGCTTGATTTGGCGGAGTGGGGGATAAATTTTGAAGCTGAACCTCTCTTATACTTTAAATTGACTGAGGTATGCAAAGCATTGGTCAAAACCAAGTATCTTGAACTTCATTTACTGCAACTTAGACATTACTATATTCCCAAACCTCTCATCCTGTCATAGTTCAGAAATTCACAAAAAAATACTGTAACTCACTGCTAGTGTCTTAATACTTTGTGTTTAATGTATTTGACAAAGGAAAAGCAAGAAGTTACTGGTGATTGCTTTTTTAGTCACTCATGAATTTAGAAGTGACAGAAAAGGGAGCAGCAAACTGATAAATATGCTTTAGATTTTCTTTTCCATTTCTATTAGGGATGCTATAATATGCTTGTGATGTAATAATGCTCTTGACACTGTAATGTATTTTCAAGTAGGGAACTCTTAAATTTATATGTGAAAATTTTATTTAGGTAATTAACAACTCATCTGAAGTTGAAAATGAATTCGATGGTCAGATGGAAGATACAGTCAAAAATAATACTGAGTGGAACTCTTTTGCCTAATAAGCTTGCAATATTTTGACAAGTTACATGGGTCTAAATTTGCTTCTGTTGTATCTATTCACTACTCTGTTTTAGTTTTAAAAAAAGTTTCCTGTCAAAGCAGTGGAACTAGAGATTTTCTTTTAAAAAAACATCTTGTGAAGAGAATAAAAATCGTGTCAACAAAAGATCGTATATCAAAAAAAAACCCCACAGGTCTAATTTCCTTGTTTTTTTCTAGTTCTTGCATTTGCTTTTTACTGTGGAGGAGATCTAATGAAATTTTGAACTTTCCAGGTTGCTACTCCTGGTGTTAAACAAGGACCAGCTTCCCAGGCAGCACCTCAGCAGCCGGTAATAGCTGACAAGCAGGCRAGTCATGAACCTGCCTCTCCACGAAGTCTTCAGCGTTCAAGGTATATTGAAATGCTACTCTGTTCTGTCTTCAGTTCTTTATCTGGATTCAGTGTGTCTTGTATATGTTGCAGTTAGTGGACTCTTCTTTGGCCTGTTTATTGAACATATGTTTTAACTGCTGCTACTGAGAGAATGCAGCTAAATAGCTTAGTGAAGTAATGTGGTAGATTCTCCATTTTTTGGAGTAACCATGAGAATTCCATTCACAGAAGCAAAATGGAACTCGTGCTTGTGCTGTGTCACTCTAGAGTCAATTTGGCAAGTGATTCCTTGTATTGTGATTTCAGAATTTGGAGGTTTTGTGCAGTCACGGAATCTATGATTTGCTTAGTGTAAGATGTTCATAGTGTCCTGCTGTAGTCCAATTTGATTTTTAAATTAGTGTAATTTTTTTGTCTGTCAGGTGATTTTGCTGCCCTAATAAAAAGTATTAAAAATTAAGGAAGTTTCACAAATGCCTTTTCTTGGCCAGACTTTTTTGTTAATGTTGCAGCTTATTCAGATATTGCATGATACGAACATTTAGCCATTGATTTACAAGGTGGGTTTAGAATTTGTATCTTRTTTGAAAATTTTCCTTTGGGAAGATGGGCTCTTCATAGTGTCAGATGCTGTGCTTTTTGTCATATTGGTTCCAGGGGCTATAACCAAAGATGTGTCATAAGATCCTTTTGTGATGGAGTCATGGTGTAGAACCATGGCAGGAAGAGGCTGCAGGTTTTTTTTCTACGTTTGTAAATCTGCAATTCTTAAAAGCTGGATTTTTAGAGTGGTTGAGCAAGTTGTGTGGTATGGTGTTAAAAAAGCAAGCAAACAACACCTTGYCGTCTTTTATACCCGAAGCTACAGCATACCTGAAGCTGCTTTCCAGATCATAACATAGTGAGGTCCTTTTATCTGCCCTTCTGGAACAATAACAAAGGGGACTTTCGGTTTTTTTGTTGGTTTTGGCTGTTTCTGTGGGGAGAAGGGAGTTATTTTGTGTTTTGAGGTTTTTGGGCAGGCTGGGTTATCTGTTGTGTGCTTGGCAGTCCTGTTSAAGAAGCTGGCTTTACTGTAGACCCTGCAATATTGACCAGTTTGAGGGTACAGACACAAACATGTCAGAAGTTTGGGAATTTTTCATGTAGGCTATTTTACAGACACTCAAGTCTCATCTTTGTCAGATTACAAGCGTATAAGTAATTTCTTTGAGGAGAATAAAGGCAAAGTGTGTCAGCTCCAGTCTTTAGTAATTATGGAWGGTGCTCTTTAAATAGGTCTGAATTACAGTACCAAAGATAAAATTAAATTTTGCAGCAAGCRAAACTTTTTTATAAAGAGTGGTGAGATTTTGGGGGACAGCTCTCAGTCACATGCCCTTTTGTTCTTTGCTCATCACCCTTTCCCCACAGGAATTCTTCCTAAGAAAGATAGCTTATTCTTGGAAGCATGTACCATGGCTCGGAGTCTATGTGAATCARTATTGGTGGGCATTTGGCCTACTAATCCATGCCTCACCTTCCCTTTAGATTACACAGCTTTGTGCTCTGGCATAACACTTACCTACAGTGGGTGTAGGGAACTGCTGTCTCCCTGCAAACCATTGTTCCATTTTGCATCAGTGTTTTGGTGGAGGTAGCTGACTTCGCCCCAGCGCTGCTGAAGCAGGGGTGTTGTGCAGGTAGCACAGTCTCCTGGCTGAGGGGGAGACAGTGCAAGAGGAGGTGTGCAGGCCAGGGTGAAAGACACTGTGGCAATGTTAGTATTGTTTAGTATCCTGTATCTCTCAAATTAACACGCATTTGTAACTGTAGTGTATTGGGCATCACGAGTTCATGTGATTCAGTTTGCTTTGCAAGTGTCCAGTTCACAAAAAGTGAAAGATTAAGGAATAGGTGACTTGGAAAAACCTGTGTAACTTGTATTCTCTTCTTTTGAGTGCAGTGGAGTTGAAAGAAAGTGGACTAGCTCAGATGTTGACATACATWTCTGCAAAAGATCTGCTGTGTCCAGTCACTATATGTGAATTGATATGGAACAGTTTATTTCTGTGTAGGTGAAAGCAGTCAGTTGGATTGGGAACTGCTTTTGAGAGCTCATGTCCTTTACTTTTATAGCGGTGAACAGCAACTTCGCGACCTGAACTGTGGACAGGTAGTCCAAAATCGTTTTGGCTCTTGAATTAAGGTTGCATTTTTCTAATAGCTTAAATACAGATTATTTGAGCAGAAGTTAATCACAACTACATTGCCTTTGCTTTTACTACTATTAAAAGTGTTAAGTAAATSGAGGTGCAATTACTTTTGACATGTTGGGGAAGAAACACTGTTTGAAAGCCTGAGTAGGTTGTTGCTAACTTTAAAGATGTGAACATTTCAGCCACTTAAGTTGGGTGATTGATACAATACAGGCATACAGCWAGTCTGTCTATTACAGATTATTCTAAAGACACAGCATTAATTATGGCTGCTTTATGAAAATAAATGATTGTGCCCATAATTAATAGTTTCATTAGGTTTGTGGTTTGCTTTTGTTTTCAGAAAGGGCTGGGAAAATTTTTCCTTTACCTTGGAAAAGTGCTGGGAAGGGAGGTGTTTATTCCAGTTTTTGTAGGTTGTAAGATTTTGTCTTTTGTAGTAGTGCATTTAAGAACTATCCTATTCTCATTCCCTTGTTACATTTTTGCCTCTCTGGAGGCATTCTGTTACTTGTGGCATAGTCTTTAATTCAGCTAAGGCTGGTGTTTACCTTTAGTGAAGCATTTAAAAGTACTCTGGTAGTTTGGAAGGGTCATTGCTGTATTCGTAGCTCCCCCTGCTGCTAACATAGCAGTGCCTCGGATGTTTTGTGACAGTATGATTTAGTCATAATTAAGATACAAGTATATTTTTGAGAAGAACACAGATTTTATTTACTTTCTTGAAACATTTCTAGTGTGTTAGAGGAGAARTAGGAATGGGAGAAGCCAGGCTGATAAATGAAGAGGAGCCAAGTCATAGGGGGTACTTTAATTCTAGTAGAACTAAGGAGTAAATAAGATTATGCCTGAATTCTGCTTAGTTAATAAATGTAGCCTTTCTCAGTACCATCACTATGCTGATGCTAAATKAATACATTAAAAACTTAGAATAATTTAGTTTGAAAGGGAATTCTAGTTATTRTCTACTTAGGTCCCAGCTTAGAGTAGGACTGGCAAGTTTGAATTGCTAAGGGCATTATTTAGGTGATTTTTTTCTTTTAAGATCTCAGAGCATCTTCTAATGTTTGACTGCCCTTATCATGATACTTTTTTTCTCAGTCTCTGATTAGAATTTCTCTTGTTGCAGCTTGCCTCTGCCTCTTCCARTGCTATCACTGTGCATCTCTGAAAATAGTCTGTCTGTTCTCCTTATAAGTAGTAAAARGATCTGTCAATCCCCTTCTCCTCAGCCTTCCCTTTTCCAGACTGGATAAACTTGTCGCTTCTCCTGATACAGCATGTGCTTCAGCTTCTTGGTTATCTGTGTGGTCCTCTGCCACATTCCTTGCTATAGCAGTTTAGTTCTTGTCTGATTTTGGGCTTCCACTACACAGTGCTCCAGATACTGTGAATCTTGTAAGCTCTGAAGAGAGGGGAGGAATTTGTTTTTTTTTAATAGGAGAAGTGCTTCAGCCCTCTCATCAACTTTGTGGCCCTTCTCTGGCCTTGTCCCAGCAGGCCYGCATCAGACATCCAGTTTGTTGGCTGTAATTCTTAATGCCATAATTCTTTGCAAGTGTCAGTTCATTAGGATAAATGTSTGGGCATTGGACTGGAAAGATTGTTGCATTTTGTAAGGATATTTTCAGTCTTCAAGGGGACTGACAGGTTAGGTTAGGTGATGAATCAAGAGTACCTTAAAATTTGGTTCTCCTTCATAATACTTTCTTCTGGCCTGCAAAGGATATGAAGTTTTAGGAAATAGACTGAAATTATGGCCCATGTTGAAAAGCTTCTGCCAGTGGAAGAGTTATTAGGTACTTACACAATTAGTGCTGCTGTTTCTCAGTTTATATTGTGCCACAGAACATCATAACTGTGAGGTACCATCACTGTGATGGTATATTCTAGTAAAGCARTCAAGTTTGGTGGCTACAAAGACAGATAGATGGCTCTTGTGATGCTTTTGTTCTCCTGAGTGCATTAAGTGAAGAGGTGCAGTGTCACAAAAACACCTATTTTGTATTTTAACATGAACAGTAAATTTCTCATATGGCTGTATTTTCAGATCAGGACAKCAGGCATTGTTCTTAACAACTATTGTGGCAAACCTCTGTTGAATAAACYAACCAAATTGTTTGGCTCCCATCTGATACACCATTACTGAAAACCTTAGGTTTGCAGCTGAAGGAAGAACATATATGTATATATTCTCTATCCAACACCATCTAGCACAGCTTTAATCTCTTGAACAGCTCTCAGAGTTAAAAAACAGACAAACACAAAACCCAGCCAAACAACAAAAACCCCATTACATTAYAGCACTTAAACAGTTCCAATGAAAGTTAGAGGTTTGTAGAAAAGTGGCACAGGTTTGGTCTACCAGAAGTATTTACTTGTGGTTTGARCACTTTATGTATTTTTGTGCCTGGAAGCAATGAATTTTCAGTGTTCATTTCTCAATAGGTTCACATATGTTTTTAAATGCTCACTTGCTTTTTTTAAATTTTTCTTCTAGTAGTCAAAGAAGTCCATCACCAGGTCCAAATCATACCTCTAGCAGTAGTGCATCAAACTCAACACCTGCACCACAAAATCCATCTGTACGACCCACATGTTCATTAACACCTACGCTAGCAGCACACTTCAATGAAAACCTTATAAAGCACGTTCAAGGCTGGCCTGCAGATCATGCAGAAAAGCAGGTGAGTACTCCTTTGCTTTGTTCCCTGTGAGAGTGCATAATGCAGCTTAAAATTTGAGTTTCTTACTCAGATTGCATTTGCTAGGAATTAAAAGTATTAAAAAAAAAAACCAAGCCCTGATGCTTGTCCTTGGCCAGAAGAGAGGAGAGGAAAGAGAGATTAGGCCTGACCTGCAGGTGTTACATGTGATTGTCTTTCAGTAGTTGAGTATTTTCAGTCTCATGTGAAGTCCCAATACTTYTGAAATTCCCTCAGATGAGTAGCTATCCTCATAACTATTTTCTTACTGTTAAAGTTCTGCTGAAATTTGCAAAGAACATAGATTTCAATAGATTTTTTTAATAATTATATTTTGATTATGTGGAAAATGTTAGGTATTTAGGTGCAGAGTTAAAGCTATTTGAGACTACTCCACAGTTTTAGTTACTGACTTGTTAGTTCTGCACAGTGMAAAGGAACTCTGCCTTGTTTGTAGATTGATATAGAGTCCTCCGACTGAATTTGGGCTATTTTTACATAACGGAAAATCCAGTAGAATTGCCATCTATGTTATAGCTAACTGCATGGAACTTACCCTGTTGTAGTAACTTAAAGAAACTGAATGCATGTCAGCTGCTTGGAATGTATTACTCAAAGGAGCCATATTGGTTATTGAATCTAGTTCAAGTCCTTTCACAGGCAGCCCTGTCTGATGTAGACTGTTTGGGATAATAATCTTACCTAGCCCAGTTTACTTTGGTCTTTTGAAGCGTGGTTGCATCCTGGCACAAGCCTGCACTGGAGAGTTTTGGGCAGCAACTTACAAGATGACTCTTACAAGTATGGTATAGGCTGAGACCCTGTTACGATTCTTGCTTCCTTTCRTTAACTTTTTTTTAATCAGTTTTAAGACATTACCAGCCTGTATTGAGTTAAACACTGAGCCATTGCTATGGAACATCTTTAAAGAAGTGGTGCAGCACAGACTCTTTCTTATCCATAGCCTTGGTCCATAGTTTTGACTGTGTACTGAATTCACAAGCATCTTAATAGAGAAAACAGATTTATGCAGTGGATAGGTTTGGGGTTTTTTTTTCCCTTTTGGTAATGAAGAGATCAAAAAACTCAGCTAATTCTAGGCAGTCATGCACTCAGTTGGGTACTTGTCCCTTTGTGCCAAGTGCTACATGCTGTGTTGTCTTGTCTACTGTTTCAGATTATTTCACATGGTAATGTTGTTTATAGACCAGTTTTGAATACTAACACTTGAGGCACTTAAGTGAAATATGTTATGCAAATGAAACAGTGAATTAAAGTAAAGGTGCAGTACATAGTGAAGAAGGTAAGACAGATCAGAGGGGTGAGACTAAAAATGCAGTGCCTTGGTTTCTTCAGATAGCTTCCAGATGCTTAGTGTAACTTGAAATTAGGGGAGAAGAGCATGCCAGAGTAAACTGAAAAATAAATATGTAAATAAATTAGAAGTGCCAGGACAGGTATATGCTAAAGCTGTCGGGCTTGAAGAAATGTGCTAATGGGCAGTAGTTAGTAGCTAAAACATTCTTGAACTACATCAGTTTCCTCACAGAACTCATAAAAAGCACTTAACATAAAAAACTGAAAAATAATTCAGTAATTGGAGTTGTGCAGGGAAGACATGGGCAATTATATCCTACTGGAGACCAGGGTGCCTACCAGATGTTAACAAACTCCAGAAAAGAAAACTTTTAATGTAGGAAATTAGAACACAAAATGCTCCTTTGAACTGGAGACATGCCAGAAGTTGATGAAGACCTGTGCTAAATAACATTATTTTTGGGAAGGAAAAATGAAGTATACTAGTTCCTAAGCAGATGTGGATGTATCCCAGTATCTGGCAAAGCACCACACACCCACTTGCTCGCTCTGCCCCAGTAGAATAGGGGAAGCAATTAGACAAAAGTGAGAGAACTCATGGGTTGAGGTAAAGGCAGCTTAAAGAGTAAAAGAGGATGAAGGAAAGTGATGCAAAAGTAGTCACTACCAGGCAGCCAATGCCCAGCCAGTCCCTGAGTCATGGCAGCTCCTGGAAAACTGTCCCCCAGTTTTACTGCTGAGCATGATGCATTGAATGGTGTGGAATATAATATCCCTGTGGTCAGTTTGTGTCAGCTGGCCCAGTTTTGCTCCCTCCTTCCCTGTTGTCCACTCACAGCATATTTCCTGGGCAGAGGGGGGTTCACASAGGGAAAGGGAGAAACCCTTCATGCTGTGTAGGCTCTGGTTATAAATAGCTAAAACATTATTATGTTATCAGCACTGAATTAGTCACAGATTCAAAACGTGGCACCATGTGAACTGCTATGAGCCAGAGCCAGTGCAGTGGAGAACAACATTGCTAAACAGTAATGCTGCAGGGAAGGCTGTATTTAAAACAACTTTTTTTTTCCATGTGACACTTGCATGAAATCCTCTTCCTTATTGCAGTGTAAAACACAGGGCCTCAGAGTAATTATACTGGTCTCCTTGGTTCTGTTGAGGAGTTCTCTAGAGTTATATCCAGTTCAGTGATGAGACTTTGAGAAATGSACAAAATGGGAGTTGGATAGCTCATGCCCTTTAAATTTACAATTCTCCTAGTCTCCTGCTGACTAAGTGGGAAGAGAACCCCTGAAGAGGTTTGCAAAGTTATTTTTGTTATGTAGAAGGTAGCTGGAAAGAAAATGKTATTCAGTTGTTTTTGTCACTGAGGCTTAATTTAGACGGAAAATTTAAATCTGCCATGGAAATGATGGACACTTTGAGCTACTTGAACAAATTACTTTGGAAACTCAGAGCCCTGTCATATACTGTTTTTCAAGATGGTTGGGTGAGCATTGTTTAGAATTGAGAAAAGCCAAACTACTCCTCCCTTAGCACAGGCCTGAGTTAGACATTTTCTGGGCAGCAGTGTTTATTTCTGACTCAAAATGGGCTTTTGTAGAGAACTTAATGTGCTTCTTATTTAATACTCTTTTGAAATTAGAGTGAGATTTGCTGTTTCAAGACACACTCTTCCAGCAATTCTCTGGTAACTGCCAGTCGTTTCCAATGCATGATTCAAAATCCTAACCTAACCTTATGTGTAACCACTGCAGGCATCAAGATTACGTGAGGAAGCCCATAACATGGGAAGTGTGCATATGTCAGAAATTTGTACTGAATTAAAGAATTTAAGGTCTTTAGTTCGAGTATGTGAAATTCAAGCAACTTTGCGTGAGCAAAGGTAAGTGTGTGCTGATCTTAGAACTTCCATTCTGGCATTGTTTTGCCCGAGTTCTGTTTTCTGATGACTTTTTAAGTACACCAGTAGTTGCCACATTTGCAAGCTGCYTTCCCTGTGTATATTCTACCTGGTTTTCTTCAGGAGATAGTACCAGATATGCAATTTCTGTATCTGCTGCAATTTCTATATCTGTTTTCACTTGGATAACGAAGAAATGCCATTGCAGATGCCTTAGTGCATTGCAAAAACTCACAGCATTTCAGCAGGGTTCTAGAACATCTGCCAGTACATAATGCATAGATCACATAGGTACACAGCTGCATGGTTCATGCTGGTCTGAAACAGGTATCATTTACATCACAAGCCAAGGAAAAATTAATATTTGTTTATAGCAAAATAAACTTCCCTTCTTAAGTCAGTGATAGCAGATGTCTTGTGCATCACTGAAGTGATACACAGCCACGTTGTTGAAGACTATTGTGCAAAATTAAAAACTGTAATCTTAAAATACGTGTTCAAAATTTTCTCCAGTAGTCCTGATCCTGAATCTGCTTTCATACTCAGTTTCCTTTTCCAGTGATATTATCCCAGCTGTTGTCACACTACAGTTTGAATGCAGTGATTCTGATTTACTGTTTGAAGCCACCTTAATTGCGTTGCATGGTGTTTTTAAGTAGCTGCCTTTAWTCAAGAATCTCATGTATTTTGGCAGTCAGTGAAACAATCCTTTAGAAGCATGCTATGTTTATAAATCTTTCCTGATTAAGAATTGAAAATATCTATTCTTTCTGAAGYTTTATTTTGTAACTTCTCTACATGAGTTACAATTTCTGTAGTATATTTAATGAACTGCTTGGTTTCTTACAATTTTCATTTCATAACTGTCATTTCTGTCTCTGAGTGCACATTTGATCTGAAATAACATGTCAAATGTCATTGTTCAGTTCATTAAATAGTACCTTGTTTCTTGTACACTTTGTATCCTTAAACTGTCAATATATAATTATTATGACTTTGAGCCTATAGTAACATGTATCTTTTATTTTTGCTGCAATCCCAAAGATGTGGAGTATGAGGCATAAGTAACAAGTTGATGGGGGAGGCTTTTGCAAAGGATGGGATTATCAAAATCAATACATTTAAATGATGATACTATTTCTGTACTTCTACACAGAAGCATACTACTTAAATTTCTTCTAAGGAACTTAATCTCTAGACAAAACAAATGCATAGTTTGAATCATAACAGACAGCATGTGGAAAAGCACTTTTCACTCATTGATATTTTATATTCCTGTGCATCCATGTTTGATAYTATCTTTTCAGTATGTCTGTCTTAGTAATTTTTCACCTACTTTTAAGTAGAAAATTAATTTTTAATGAACCGGGCACACACTTGAAAAGTGTTCCACAAAAGTCTGCTGAATTGGTGCTTTTTCTGCATTGATTAAAGTTGTTTCAGACGTCATAGAATATCTATATAAAACTTAAATTCTTCCTGAGTATTTTCTTATTTCACTTAYGTTTGCATTACATTTCAGCATCATGATAAGTGGTTTCAAAATGTTCATTAAAATTTCTGGGAAACAGTCCTGTAAACCAAATGTTCATTAGTCAAAGTAATTGCTTATGTCAGTTCAGAAGAAGAAAAAARAAGTATGAAAAGTTGCGGGCAATATAATTTATTTCTAAAGAAGGTGTAGTTACAGCTTCTTTCTCTTAGATRTCTTTCAGTGATGCTTCAGATATTTGTGAGATTAGAGCTTGCCCACACTAAAGACTACCACTAGCTACAGAGCCAAATACTAAAAAAAAAAATCTGAGATGTGTTGCATCTAGAAGAAATCTCACTCATTTAAAAGAAAKTTGAACACTTGAGGTTGTTTTGCAGTCTGGAGACCAGCATGACACAGGCATAATGCTGTTCTCCAGGTTATTCAGTTACTTGTCTTACTTGCCAGTCTTGCTTTTTCTKAGAGCTACATTCAAGTGAAGAGCAGACCTTACATAATACAACTAATTAATACAACTGTGTATCAGTCATAATAGAAATAGRGCAGCTTAGTTTTTTGAACTGAAGTGTCAAATGCACCAAGCTTTTGTGCGTCTGCATACGGTTGTAGGTTATTGAACAGATTGGGAATTAACTTAATAACTGGATTGTTTTAATGGAGCTAAGGAATTTGGTATCTTTCACTGAAATTGTAAAAGTAGTTGTGTAGATAGTTATTTAATACATCTGTGTTACGGAAATGTTTATACTCATTTAATTTTTTTTCTCTTGCAGGATACTATTTTTGAGGCAACAAATTAAAGAACTTGAAAAGCTAAAGAATCAGAATTCCTTCATGGTGTGAAAAGTTGTAAACAATTGCACATGGTTTTGAGTACAGGAACTATTAAACTGATGCCCAGTCTTAACACTTTTGAGCTGCATTTGAGTAGACTTTGGACCGTTGAGCTGGGCRGAAAAAAAAGTTGACATGGGGAAGGGGACAGGAGGGAGTCAAATTCAGGGGAAAGATACAAGAATGATTTGTAAAACCCTTGAAATGTAGATTTCTTGTAGATGTATTCTTCACGTTGTAAATATATTTTGTAGAGTGAAGCCATGGGAAGCCATGTGTATCAGAGCTTAGACATCCAAAACTAATCAATGCTGAGGTGGCTAAATACCTAGCCTCTTACATGTAAACCTGTCTGCAAAATTAGCTTTTTTTTTTNTTTTTTTTTTTTTTTTTTTTTTTTTTTTTTTTTTTTTTTTTTTTAGTTAATTTATCATTCAGAAATTTTTCATTTCCTAAAGTTCAATGCAAGCGCCAGGCGATCTGTGTCTAAGGCTGCAACAGTTTGGGCAATGTACAAAATACCACGAAACAACTGTTTCCACACTTGCACCGAGTCGAGAGCAGTGCTTCTCCATTTCTGTTTTACAGAGAAATGTTTTTCATCTTCTGTGTTCCATTTCCCCATGAAATCCTAAATCTGATTTTATCAGCTTTTTAATGCTTCTAATTTTCTCTTTTCWTAAGGCACTGTTGCTATGGCACTTTTTCTATAATCTTTTCATTCCTGTGTACAGTAGCTTAAAATTGCAGTGATTGAGCATAACCCACTTGTTTGTATAAATTATTGAAACGTATTTCCATTTGCATCCTGTAAGAATGGACTTATAGTACTGCTGGGCATGTGTGCTGAAAGTACATTACTTGCTCAAATATAAGGAAATAGCCCAATGAACATGTTAACATGGTTGTGGGAGGGGAAAGGAAAAAAAAGCTAGTCAGATGTGAATTGTATCTGTTGTAATAAACATGTTAAAGCAAAGAAACACTGGTTTTCATTTCCTTTGGTCAACACATTAAAATTTGATCTATTTGGGGATTCTTTATTAGAACTGTTCTTGTTGAACATTTTTGTACTTAAATAATTCCTCAAGGGAGGTTTTGTTTAAAACTTGTAAACAGGAAAATATGTATAAAATATTTAAGGAAATATAAAATTCAACAAGAATGATTTAAGACACCTCCCCAACAGTTGTCATATGTTAACTCCTGGTTTACCTGTCTTGATATTACGACATTTCATTTCGAAGGATGTTTGTGTTGTAGCTAACTGTTTAAGTCTGGTGCTGACTGCTGTTCTTAACCATCACAAAACGCTGAATTTGTGTAATTGGAGCAACTCACCATTTGAAAATGGTGGAAAAGCTCAGCTTTGTATATTGTTTCCTAAAGTATATTAAAAATAAAAAAGAAACTATTGCTACTACAAAATAAATGTGACTTTTTCTTTGCTTAAAAATGACAGAAATCGTGATGGCAGTACTGGTTTAATATTTGTAGAGGTGTTTATGTCACAGCAGTCTGTTAAGTAGGAAAGATCATAGAGGATGGATTGAAAGAAAAAAAGGAACTTAAAAGGTGTTGCCATATGATGCTTTGTGTTTTGTTCCTAAAAAATAGTTTCAGCACCAGAAACATTATGTTGAGTGAGCTTGGACTGGTTTTTAAAATCAGATTTTCGTCAATGTAAGCTGAATGCTCTGACCTAACAAAACATTGCAAATGGAGCAAGTTGAAATACCTAACTAACAGCAACAATGGGAAATTGGGATAGATGGACTTGTAATTGTTCCTCACTTTTTAACCCAGTATGTTATGTTGTGTTTCATTTGCAAATGTTTTATTTTCCTCAGAAAATTGGAGTAATCTTAAATGAATTAATTGGAACATACATTGTTTCTGCATTTTTAGAGACCCAAGGCTATGTCACAGAATTCTTCCTGAGACTTTCATATCTGCCTTGCGTGCTGTGTTTGGAAGTTGCCCAAGTGTAGTGAAATGCATGGAAGTATAAGGGATCTCTCACCGGTGGTTGACCTTAGTTCAGGCATTTTGCTGTTTAGTAGAGAGAGTACCCCTCCCTACTTGCAGAGACAAAGGTAGATTCTATCTTAATAGATATGGTGGGTCTATTTTCCATGAGCTTATTTTGTTTCCTTTTGCTTTTTATATTGCCCTCTGTAACATCYTGTATTAATGAGCTTCACAAATTAATTTCATTTGTAGAAAATTTCTTTGGATTTTTTTTAATCTGTTTCGAATTAATTTTCTTACGTTAAACTACTGCCTGTTGATCTTGCTGTTTTCCAGAAGAATATCCTTTCCAGTCCAAAGAGTGCCAGTCTATCACTTGGAAAGTTTCATAAAGTACAAATGGTCACAGATAATTTGGGAGTCACAAGGATTAAAGTGCCACTTTAACCCCCTATAATCACGTGCATAAATACTCATCGRATAGAGATAAGCACTCTCACCAGGTGATGCCCTCCCTAACTCCTTCAGTAAATGCGGCTGCTTTGCCAGCATCCGGTGACATACCGGATACACCTTGTTGCTCACCATGCAAAAGCTTTCCTCCACCATCCTCCACACCCTTCCAAGGCCTGGAGCTGTTGTTAGCTGAGGAGGGGCAGCCTGCCTGACAGGTATTAGACAAGTTGGGGAAAAGGATTGCAGGCACTGCTTTAAAGTGAGTGCTAACAAAAGRGTAGGGTCTTGGTTAAGGTCCTTCAGAATGGCTTCACTAATATGCAGGTTTAATCCTGGCCTTACTTTGTGATCTGGAGACTTCAGTTTTTGTAGTGGTGTGCCAAAGCCAGCACTCTGTAAACTTGGGGGGAAATACTGATTTTTCTCCTCCCTATTAAATCTTGTATCCGAAGCTGGACAATAAAGAAATGAGCAGGTGCACTGAAACCTATTAGCAGATTAGCAGCTTTTCATTAATTAGCTGTCCTGAAACTGATGCTACCTTTCACACTGGTTAATTAAAGGGGCTTTATTGAATTTCTCTACACCTGTAAGTCACATAAAGTGAAATTCCTCTGGATCAAACCTTGTATTCTTCCTAGGCATGTGTTCAGAATGTGTTGATGGGAGCTGTGGGATGTGTCTGCTCTGTTAATTACTTAATATAGGTGGTCAAGGAAAAGTGATGAGAAACTGGAGAAATAACTTGCTGAATACGTTGCTCTTGATTTTCTTGTTACGCATTTGCTAAGCAGCTATTCAGTGTAATAGAGAAACAGCCTTCAGAATTACTGAGGAGATTGTCTGAGCCTGTACAGTCATACTGCAGGCAGTGTCACTGGGGTAGTATTTTATCAGGTGTCATGGTATGCACAAGGACTACAGCAGGGGAAGCTTAATATGATTATAAAACTACACRACTGATCCAAGGAATTCCCATTTCTATTTTATCCTTTACACTGACCTTGATCTGAAGGTGCTGTGGTCAACTGCTCTATTTCCATGAATTTTTTCTGCTTACACTAATCTCTCGTAGTGATGCAGTTTTCTTTTCAGACTTGTTTTATTAATTGTATCTCTTTTGGTAGGAACATCTTTTGGTGGATACAGGTGCTGTCTTTACTGTTGCAATTAAAAACATATTCAGAAATGATAGTTGTGCCATGCCTCCTAAGKCAGTGGGTCAAAGAAGACCATGTCTTACTGTCACCCTTTAATTCCAGTGTCACCTTGCCTGTGATGACAACCTGAGGAGTTAGCAGATCAGAGTCCTTTGTTGCTGTGRGTTTGGCTGCTGTGGCCAGTTCTGTATATACTGCTGCAAGGAAGGAGTGATGTGCCCTGAGCGTCACTGACTGTCACAGTGCCTCAGAATACTTGTGAGTTTGCCGTGTATAAGGGACAGTGACTTGTAAGGGATAGTCACTCCAACTCTAAAGCAACATAAAACTGTTGTATGTGTAGTTAAATATCATGTCCATTCTTGCAATGAGCTGGATGTTTCTGTGACTGTGTCATCCTTACTGCTGATCCTGGAATAATACTCTGTCCTCCCCAAATAAATATCATTTACAGATAGAAGGCTATAATGAGGCAAATCTGGATGTTTTCGAAATGATGCCTCGACTTCCACAAGTTTTCAGCAGAGAATATTCTGAGTTAAAGTACTGTCTCATGGACATCAGTGCTACTTTTCTGCCCGTCATTGCTGATTAATGATATGTGGAGGTGTATTTTTTTTTGTTTCCTTATTTGTTTCATTTCTTAAGAATCTGGGCTTTTGATGTGGGAGGAATCTTTCTTTGCCTAGCAAAAGAAAAAACCCTATCTTTTGGACAGTTGTTTTCCTGTAATCAATCAAGCAAAAACTTTGATTTGCAACTGAGATCCATATAGATGTTGACTTCTGAAAAAAAAAAAAGATCTTTAGCAGTGATAAAGTTTTGGATTCCAGTTACACRTCGCTTTTTTGAAATACCTGTGAAGTTTGTCTGTCTTGTATTTCTGGTCTAGAACAGACGCTCTATTCAGTCTTCCATAGCTGAGTCAGCGTTATCCTTCTAATGTTCATAGATGCTGCTGCTGTACTAACTAATCCATCTGTAATTGTTTCATAGATGCTCCTTGGTATAGATTTCTGTACATTTCCAACTATGGCTTTTTTTTCTGGGGAGCCTGTCTGAGGGAAAGGACTGATACAGACTTTCTACTACTCAGCGCTCCAGCTGGCYGAGAATCTGGAAGTCACAAAGTACTTTTCTCCTCCCTAATAAAGGTGCTAACCCACCTGATCTAGGACTTTCTAGAGAATGAACTGTCAAATTTTTTTCTCCCATGGGAACTAGGAACTTTCCAGGAAAGCTTGTTGCATCGTGGACATGTCCTACCTGSAGCTGATGAGAGTTAGGCAGCTGTACTACCCAGCTCCAAACACCAAGACTTAGCACAGCAGGTTTGCAAACGGGGCTTGAGCAACCTGATCTTTCCAGCAGTTACTCAATATGTGTGACAGTATTTTGTTACCTTCTGTTAGTCACACGTGTCAGAGAGTATTTAYAAAGGGATGCCATCTACTCCTGCATGCAACGCCATGCTCGAAGACTAATCCCCGTGCTCCAG